GGCAATATGCTGACTCTGTAAACCGCTTAGAGAGGGCTGAAAGCCCTATGAAGCGGTATATAAGTCTAACTGCTATTGCTATTGCTATTGCATGCCATAGGTTCGCCATCACGGGTATAAGATTTCCTGCTTGAACAGGCATTGAACTAGAAGACCTCCAAGGTCCCTTTTGACTCTATTGTTATTGCATGTTCTGTGGCTGAGCAATGATCACTTTTTCAAATGGATGTTATTGTTTTTCTTTTCAGATGTTCTGGTCTACTGTGTCATTGTTTTTGTTTTCATCTTGCTTACTGTTGCCTTCTGTAGGGCCTGTTTATTGTTGCGCTACAGCAGAATAGGCTGGCTTATGCATTCCATGGCAAATGAGTGCATAAATAAATAATAGGAGGCAATCATTAGGCCTTTACTGCACATAAATAATGTTTTTACAAATGTTCTTTCTTTACTTTAGGTCCTATTTATCACCATTCGGCTTGTAGCTCACACAGTAGGGTTGGAAGGGTCTCCAGAGGTCTTCTAGTCCAGCCCCCTGCTGCAGCAGGAGAACTTATACCACTCCAGACAATATTTTCTTGAAAATCTCCAGTGATGGCACATCCACAACTTCTGGAAGCTTAACTGTCAAGAAATTTCTCCTTATTTCTAAGTTGGATCTCTCTTTGGTAAGTTTCCATTTGTTATTTCTTGTCCTGCCCTTAGATGCTTTGGAGAATAGGCTGAGCCCCTCTTCTCTCTGACAGCCCCTCAAATAGTAGAAGACTCTAGTCCTTCTCTTTGTTAGAGAAGACACTATGCCAAGTCAACATAGCCTTGAAAGAGGTCAGTGCCTAATATCCTGCCCCAGGGTGGGATTGAAACCTTTTAGCAATCGATTCTCTGCCTGGTTGCTGGGCATGGCCATGGAGGGCATGGCCTACTCGGCCTCCTGCACCATGGTGGGGTGGGTGGGGTGTGTTTTTGCCCTTCCCAGGCTCCAGAGGTTTTGTTTGAGCCTCTGGGAGGGCAAAAACTGCCTTCCTCAGGCTCTGGAGGCCCTCCGGAGACTGGAAATAGGCCCGTTTCCGGACTTGTAACTTCTAGAAGGCCCGTTTTTCGCCCTCCCAGAGCCTCTGTGTGGGCCCTGCACTCCACCTGGCTGCGCAGAGACTACTGAGAGGGGAACCAGATACAAAATTAGCATCCGGTTAGCCTGAACCAGTCTGAACCGGTTGAATCTAACACATGATCCTGCCCCTTTGGAGAGAGTCAACTCACCCAGGTAGTACACCCGGTCTGAATGAGGACATTCCGGGTCATTCCTCTTCACAAACGTGAAGTCGTGGGGTGCCTTGGCCATCAGGCAGCTGTGATATTTCCTGGTATCTGCCAGGAGCTTCTTCAGGTGACTCCATGAATGTCTCTCCACGTAATATGGCTCCGGCTTGGCTGTCTCCTCGCCGGCCGCCACATTTTCCTTGCACTCGGCCGTCTCAAAGATTTCCAGGGTGGGCTGCTCAGTCTTCATGGCTGATGCCATCACACATCTTGGACTCTGGAAAAAAAGTTCATCAAAACCCTCCTCTACTAAGCTACCTACTTGACCCCATGTTTCCCTTCAGGAACTTTCAACCACCTCCTTCCATTCCGACTCAAGTTGAGGAAACCTGGAGCATCGCTCAAAAAGATGAGGAACATCTTCAGATGATTGGAAAGCTGTTTTATGGCAGGTGAGCTACGGGCCCCCCTGCATCATAGAGCTACGGGCCCCCCTGCATCGTAGGTTCCTTTGGGATGTTCAAGAAAGGATGTCCAGTGATGGACAAGGGATCTTCTGGGAACTCTGATAACCACTGAACACTCTTTCTTTCATTTCTGAATTGTGCTCATGCTCCAGGCTAACCCTCTGGGGTATTAAGTCCACTTTGTATTATTATTGCCTCCTTTTAAGGACCCCATAATCCATTGTGGTGGTGGGGAGTCTGGGCAACTGAACCGAGCTGTTTACTGGCCCGATGCCCTTCCTGTCACCAAAGCGGAGTTATATTCAGCAGATATATTGTCATCGTGCCCAGAGAGAGAAATAGCTGCCTCTACCTAGGATCAAACTCACAACCTCCTGATTGTGAGGTGAGAGCGCCACCTCTAGGCCACTGCACCACTCTGTTTTAATACTATGGTTGGTCAGAATCCGCCAGTTGTTAGACTGGATTTGGTATTTTTGTCCACCTACCTTCCCAAGGACCTGGGATAGGCAGATTTTTTTAAAATAACATTAAAGGTATCATCACAATATTATCTGCTCACAACAATGTAAATCACAGCTACCAATTCTTTAGCTGCTTATTATTATGTTTTGTCACACAGCCAGATGCTTAGTCTGGATTTGGCATTTTTATCCACCTATCCTTATTACTATTACTGGTAGTGCTCAACGTACAACCAAAATTGAGCCCAAAATTTCCATTGTTAAGTGTTATGCCCCTGTCGGAATCTGACTCTGTGGCGGAAGATGAGCTGGAACAACTGACAGCGAGTCAAAGGGCAGCTCCGTTGTCCTTGGAGGAAACTGGGGTAGGGCAGAGTTAGTCCAAGCAAGGCTGCTCAGAATTAGCAAGGCAGGGAGGAGAGACAGAGGTTAGACGAGGAGAAAGAACCACCCTCTCCTGATCCAAGGGCAAGGAGAGTGCAGAGAAGGGGTGATCAGTGCAGACTGAGCAGGCTACTCTGGAGGAGAACACCCTGCCCAGCTTCACCAGGCACACCTGGGGTATGAGACTTAGGGAGATGCTGTGGGGAGGGGCATTTGTCGGGAACAAACTCTGAGTTCCTGGAGTGTTGTGTGAACTTGCCAAAACTCCTTGCATTCCTGTGTGGCATTCTGGATTGATTATCTGGATCGTTTGCTCCCAGAACTCCTTGCTTTATTCTTGTTTTGCTAAATGAAGTTGGGATTTATTGCCGTGCAGCCTTGGTGCAGAGAGTGCTGGGCTGGACTAATTGTGACCAGAGGCTGTTTGATGTTTGTTTGGGGAAGATTTGGAGCACTAAAGAGCTGATTTGAACTGCCAGCTGTTTGTGTTATCTCTGTGCCCTGCTCTGGGCCATCACGTTAAGTGAGACATTTGCTAGGCGAGTTTTGCCCCATTTTACCGTGGTTGTGAAGCGAATCACTGCAGCTGACAAGTTAATAACACGGTTGTTAAGTGAATCCGGCTTCCCCATTGACTTTGCTTGTCAGGAGGTCGCAAAAGGGGATCACATGAACTCAAGACACTGCAACTGTCATAAATATGAACCAGTTGCCAAGTATCTTAATTTGGATCATGGAGGTGCTTCTAAGGTCATAACTGTGAAAAAGGTCATAAGTTACTTTTTTCAGTGCCATTGTAACTGTGAACGGTCACTAAATGAACTGTTGTAAGTTGAGGACTATCTGTATCATCATGATCAGAAGATCATCATCATCATCATCTCTTTTATTCATTAAATATGAAACTCAATCAACTGAACATTTAAAAATGTTGTTGTTATTATTATTATACAATTGTATCACAGCGGCCAGTTGTTTAGCAGGATTTGGCATTGGTTACTAGTTGGGCCCCACCCAGGGGCCTAGGACGGCGTAACGTATTTT